CTCTAAACAAGCCAGAGGCGGGGATCGGCAGCAGCGAGGTAATAGCGCCGACTGAGCGGTGACCGGCGTAGGCTCGGCATCTAGTGTGCCATCATAAGGCTGTCCTAGGCGGAAGGGGCGAGTGCTTTACTCTAGCCCGCTGAACTACCGCCGCCGCCCGAGCTCGCCGACGTCCAGCGAGGGCACGCAGGCAGCAGCCGTTGGTTCAGCGCAAAAAGCCAACTACAGAGCCATGCTGATCAAACAGGTCTGGATCACCCAAGAGTCTGTACCTTTCTGCCCAAGTGCAAGACATCGAGCAAGATGCCAAGCCTTCACGACATGTTACGTTTGATTGGACAAAAACGACAAGATGTCACCTGAATGATGTCACGCGAAACGGAAAAGAAGTAAACAACGTTAAGAATTATATTTAAAAGCACAACCGAATGTACTTAACAGAATAAAATGCATCCGCCAGCACAACATATAGTCCAAAAACATAATTCAGTAACGTTACTCTAAAATTCAAAGACGAAACATACGCCGCGAAACATAGCCGGCGCATCGAAACCGTATCGTGTCGCATACATCGAAGTTCAGACGATGTAGACCATGGCGGCGGCAAAGGCCCCTAGGAGGGCATTGCCATAAACAGGCTGAATGCCAACTGCTCCGTTCGCTCGGGGGCCGGGAGGAGGCAAAGCACCGGAGGTGCTGTTGGTACCGTTGGATGCACCGACGGCTCTGCCGTTGTCTGAAAGAATGTTAGTATTGAATCAAAATTAAGGAAGCGTTCAACATACCAAGTCTGGCTCCTTGATTGACAACAGTAGCAGTGGTAGCGGGCTGTCCGCCGGTGGTGCTGTTGGTGCTGTTTGTGCCGTTGTTCACGTTCACAACGGTGACGTCCTCCACTTCAACGACTTGAGCAGAAGTCGCGTTGGGGAGCATCGCGAGAAGCTCCTCCTTCTCATACTCGGTCTTGTAGTCCTCCATCACTTTATATCGTTAGTAAGTAAGAAGTGGATTCAACAAAGGATGACTTACTCTCATCGATGTGGACGCTGGCTGCGGGGCGGCCATGGGTGGGGGGAGCATCTGGAGGGCTCGTGGTATCGATCGTAGCGTCCATAGCAGCATGATACGCCGCATCTGCATGTTGTCAGTAAGAAAGAAACGAAACGAATTCTAGAACAGAGAACTAACTGTCAGCATCCAAGGCATCGATCTTGGCCATGATCTCGGCCGGAGACATCTGCTTGGCTATGTCGAATGTCAGTATTTTATAATTTAAAGACGCAGGCCAAAGTAAAACTCACCGACCGGAGCCTTAGCAATGGTCGAGTTTGCGGTCCGAGAGTTTGTGCCGTTGACGGTAGCCATGGCAACGGCCACGAAGGCGAGACTGAGAACTTTGGAAAGCTGCATTTTATATAAGGCCGACAGCTAGGAGTCCAAAAATGCTATTCAAGATCGAAATGGTGGAAGTGGTGGAAGTGGTGGGATTGGTGGAATCGGTGGGGAATCCAAACGGAGGAGGAGAAGTTCGGGTTCCTAAATACACGGAGCGGTCAAAATATGGATCATCAACTTGCCGACCATCATGCCGCACAAGCAGAATGAAGCGGCGAAAGGGTTTCCGGAAGTACCTGTGTCGAGAATATCCACCTCCACATGATCCTCATCCTGAACACACACCCTTGGACACATAGCTGTCAATCTTATATATAATCTAACTTTCAAAAATTCCCACCCTCCCCATCGCAACCTTTGCTGTATGACTGTCGTTAACATGTCGATAGAAAGATGGTATGCAGTGGTCCTTTTATAGACAAATCCAGTTGAATTGGCCGCCGAAAAAGTAGCCACAGTGTCCAGTGGGTAGCGATACGCGGTCGAATCTGGAAGAACTTAGATTCACCAGCGTGAAGCGGAGCCAAATAAGCCTCTAATGATGCATTACTCGTGATGTAATCTCGGATAACTCACGACGGCTCTTCATCATCTCCTTCGTGTAACGTTTCTAGATTCCTCTCTGCAATTTCGGCGTTGATAGCGTCTTCAACAATCAAACTGCGGCCAAAAGTCAACCGCGGCAACCGCCATCACGGCTCGAGCTCGCGCCACAACAGTTCATACACGGGTGATGCAATTGCAACTGCAGCAACCGGAGCTACAGGACATGGAGCGGCAGAACATGCCAGGTCTGGCGCAAGTTCAATAGGGAAAGAGTTCATGGCCCGTATACTCGCAGTCTCAGCAGATTTGATGGTGGCTCGTAGATTTTGTGAACAGAGAAACGTTCTGCATTCAGCTTTCTTACGGGTTGTCTTTGCATATCTAGAGTGGATTAGCGAGCATCGATATTCGTAGTCATCGCTTACATCGTGATAAACTTAGATCCACGATACGCGATCGTGGCTGGAACTCGGTAGACAACTCTAGATGGATGTCGGCCAAGGAGTGACATCACATGATGAAGGTCTCGCTAGCTATGTCATCAACTTCCTTCCTCACATTCACAACTTTCACTGCAAAGTATCCCCCTTTTTATATTCATAACCGTGAATTCATTAAAATATCTGTGTAATACATTCGCAATCATTATCTCATTCGGTTTTCATATCCATCACCGTTCATCTTGTCAAACTTTTCCTCCATGGGTAAACTCCACTTTTTTTTAAGCCTTCTGACCTGATTTCCAGCTCCACCAACGGTCGGAACCAGTCTCAGCAGCCTCATCGAACGACAATAATTCCGGCTCCGAAGTTCCGTCGCTACCGTCTGCAGGAGAAGTTGCGCCTTCCTTATCGTCAACACTTGCACTTGCCGTCTCCACGTTTTCGTTGGGCTCACCAGAAATTTTTCCGTTATTCGCTTCGCCGTCGATGTTGACAGGGACAATCGCCTCTCCGCAAACCGGCTCGTCCTGGCCTTCAACCACCTCACAATGTCCCTGTCCCTCGGGAACCATGACACCATCCATGTTCTCCATCTGCACAGCACTTCCTGCCCAGGGAATCATCGCCTTGAAATCCGGCATGCTGAACTCTTGCCACTGCGGTGATGTCCACCATAGTCCAGTTGCGGCGGCCACTACCAACAACAAAATTCCAACAACCGTCGCCCAGAACCCAACATCAAGAGGCTCAACATCCCAAGCGGGAAGTCTTACACCCCTCTGCTTCGCATCCTTCCTCATAAATGCCTTAACGAGCTCATCGGTCTATCCCCAGTCAGCATTTGTCCGCTAATCATGTCACAGCGCAACATACCTTCTTCCCCCTCCATCCTTTGGGTCCAACCTCGACATCAACTCTCTCCATCTCATTCCAAACCCTCTTCCACGCTCCCGACGTCATAAGTCCATTCGCAGCATAAACCCTGATCTCCCACTGCCTCTTCGCGGCCACCTTGCGAACCCCCAAGCTCTGCTCCCACTCATCCTTCTCCTCCTCCTCCTCTTCGCTTTGCTCCGCGGGGGTGAGCGCATCATCCAATCCCAGCGCATCAATAATAAGCTCCTCCAACGCCTGGTAATCATTCCTAGGATGTTCAATCAACAACCCACGCTCCAACATAGTCGGAGTAATCTTCCTCAACACCGCCTCTTCAGCGCCGGGCAAAAAGAGGAGGGTGATATGCAGCAACACCAACGGCGCGCTCTTCTTCTCTCCCTGAACCGTCTCATTATAGCTAGCCGAGCTCGCTCTAGATCCCAAGTACTGTGCGCGGGGGTGTAGCTTTCCCGAGCTAGTAGGACGGAGCGCCTTAGGAAGCTTCTGAGCCGCAGCGGCAAGTCCCTTCTTACGGGACTTAGGAGCAGCGGGTCCTTCGCTTTCCCATTGAGAATCGTGGTCTTCGCTTTGCGCTGTGGCTTCGGGGAAATCTTCGGTGCTGCCAGCTTCTTCACGCGATTCGTCGCCGACGTTGCGGTAGGTGTCGAAGTTGTCTTCGCTCAACAGGTCGCTTTCGAAGTCGTCGCTGATGGAGTAGGTGCTGCGGGTGATGCTGGGTAGGCGCTGGGAGTCTTGTTCTGAGAGGTCGTCGGGGTGATGCGGAGAGTCGGTTGGGTAGGAGAGTGGGGAGGAGGGGGAGTGCGGGGGGGAATGAGGCGGGGAGATGGGGTCTGACATGGCGGGCGGGCTAGTTTTGAGTCGCGGGTTAAAACGTGGTGCGGTAAATTGGATATAAGGGTCCGTTGTAAGAAGTCAGGTAAGTCGCGAAACGGGAGAAACGAAATTCTTCAACGCGGATGAAAGGGGTCAGGTGCCTTTGTCAAGGCAAGGCGAAGCAGGGTCGAGTAAATGGAACTATGGATACTCGGTGGCTGGTTTCTGGGTCAACGAAGTAACGCAGCAACGAAAGCCTGGTCGATGAGGTGTCAATTGGATATGGGTTGCTGCAGCAACCGGGATTTTAATGGTGCATTTCTCAACAGAAACCCATGTCCAGTCGCGTAGCAAAGCGGGTTTACGCGTTTTGTGTGTAGATCAGGACAGTGGGCGTCTAATTATTTGCGATCGAGGGGTTACACAATACTCTAGGTTAATTAATCGGAAACGAAGGGGAAAAGACTCGGTGACGTTGAAAAATCGTGACTGCGCTCGATAACGTGCATCTTTTCGCCTTTTCAGCTTCCAGCCCGGAAACTGTCCGAGCCCCGCCCATCGGAGCCGATACACGAAGCGAAATGTGCACTGACCAAAGCAACCGAAGCGAACGGCTTCAAGCGAGACGAGACAACGGCGGTGCGGTTTTTTAGTGCTGATCGCGATCGGGATCAGCCACCAAGGAGTGGGTTGTGCAGATTTTGCGAATTTCGCAACGGTCGCAACGCTCGCGACTGAGGTGAGATAGTAGCACTTAAAACTGGACCATAATTCAGTCTGTATGAACCATATGATTTTCTTCCCACGCTACACTTTCCACGGCGAGGGAGTGGATTGATACAGCTCGCGGAGAAAACTAGACTACAAAATGGGCTTGTTCAACACCCGGCCAACTAACTATCATAGGATTCAGTAGTGTAGGGGTATCATGAGCGCTTGCCACTTTGCATTCTGCGCTCGACCCGGGTTCGAATCCCGGCTGAATCATTTTTGCTATCCCTGAATCTCTTGTTTCATGAATGATCTTCTTCCTTGAACTTCTTCTTCGTGATTTTTGACTTCATTTTAGTACATACATACTAAAGCTAGAAGAAAAGAATTAAAAAGACAAATTGTATCGTACACTATCCAATTGCCTTACGTTAAGTAGAGTATTTGATGATCAGTGTTGTGGAGATGCTCGCAAATGCTCGTGTTGCGATGGGGGTTCGCAGGACGTGAGGTTGATGAGTGATACACCATGCTCCGTGTCTGTCTTTTTTTTCTTCTGTTTACATACCAGCCAGCCTACATGATCTTATTACGTAGATAGCAATAAATCTTACGGAATATTCCTGTTAACATCGTTATTTAGATGTCTCAATAGCTTCGTCATTCTACAAAAGATCAAATATGAACTTTGTGACGGAAATAAGTGCGCCAGTGTGATCAACTGTCTTACAATCTGGCAATGGAACCGTAAGTACAAACTTTTGTGTTCCCGGGACGTTTTAGACTCACTGTATGTGAGCACTTTAAATCTATCTGAATTTTGATGGTGGGCTTGTGGCTGTGCACGCGGTATCTACATCGCCTCACACCAAACATCGTTTATTTCGGACCCCCATGGGCCACAAGTTAGTACATTCATTGGCAGGATCTGGATTTCCCAAACGGAAAGGCTACATACTGACTTTTGGGGTTCAATGGGAACACGGTTTGAGAAAGCACCCCACCGTGCCTGATGCTTGTAGTCTAGCAAGCGGCTGTGTAAGGCGCCCAGTTATCAAGTAGCACAGCTGCTTGCTAGACTACGTGATGTATCGATGCGGGTGAACGACAAAAAGAGGGTTACGTTACCGATCTATGGGTTGAAGGACGAGGCAAAACAGAGTTGTTCTTGGGAGGCACTGCCACAGCTACCTTCAATTTGAACGCAGAGGTTTTGTTACGCAGAGCTCTCTGGCATAAATTCCAGCGTCTACTTATATCATTAAGCTATCCCCATCCCGAATTTTAGGTAGTTATGCTATATAAGTAGCGTATTCTAAGTATTTGTAATAGTTTTACAAGTGTGTTGCAAGAACACCATGTACTCCACACGCAAATAAAACCACGAGTAACGCCAAAAAATTGCTTAATTTTAATAGTCAAAGTTCCATCGCTCGCTACAGTATTTAATGCGACATAAGCTTCAAAATTCCAAATCTATCGTGTACAGGACCAGATGAGCCTGCCAGAATGTAGCCATTCACTACCCAATGTACCATGCACCATGAGTACCGTGCCCAGTATAATAAGGTATCTCGAGTCCGGAATGGGGCGCAACGCCACTCAAGCAATCGTACCATTTCATTGGAAAAATCCTGTGCTCCTGACACATTATACAAACTCTGGGCACCCAACGAGTTTCATCAGTATCCGGCTCACATGCAGAGGGATCAAACTGAAGTTTTTCGAAGAGCTAGATGAGTTGCACTTAGAGATATAATCGGACGCTTAAGTACTCTTTACCAGTTTCCGGGGAACTTTCGAAATTTGAATTGTCTATTAGAATGAGAGATGCCGAAAAGCATAGGGTGGTCTTTATATTTTGAACAGAGTTTAGAGAGATATGACAGGTAGACCTACATACAGCGGCGCGTATATGTGATACAAACACTCGGAAGATTTAAACTTGGCAGCCGACATAGAGTATCGCATTTTCTATCAATTCATATTCCAGACCGCCTTGACCTCAATGAAGCGTCATCCGTTATTTATACTTGAAAATACATTCTCTAACCATACACCATCACTGGGTAATTAACCCGCTTGGTTACTGTACAGTATTGCGACCTGCCAAAACTCTGGGACACTGCAACCGCGCAAATATGGATGTATGATACATGATACACGCAAAATTTGCGACCCGACAATAACAAGAAACTTGATGATATCGTTCGGGAAATAATGTTCAAGTATTAAGGCCTGATACACTACAAATTATTCTCACGGTTACTTATTGTTGTTGGGTCAAAAAATATAACGCGTATCATGCATCACACACCCATGTTCGCGCGGTTGCAGTGTCCCAGAGTTATGGAAGGTCGCTATAGTACCTACTTATATTCAAAATACGTGACGGATAATCACGGATTGGGGAAGCTTGCAAAGGTCAAAGGCCGGCTCACATTCTCCGCTGTTTTGTGCTACATATTCTCTAAGCTTAACCTTTTCATTATAGAATATCGTGTCTTCACACAATCATCTGCTGATCTCTAATTATGTCTTGGTCCGACCCTTTATCGATACCCAGTTATGTCTTATTCCGACCTTTTGTTTATACCTAATCTTTTCGTGGCTCAACCCCCGGTCGCCCCTGGCCCTGCATTACTCTGCTGGACCCTCTCGTACCACGTATATTTAAGGCGCTTTCATGTGTACCGGCTCTTGCTCTCGATCCACCCCCACATCACCGGGAGCCAACTCCACCTGCCGACCTTCACCATGTACCCCAAAGACCCACTGGATCCTGCTGATCAAGAGCACCCAATATTGGAAGCAGATTATCGGTCAGGCTTACAACTACCGGAACGATCCCGAGTATTTGGCCTGTCGCGATTTCTCTCTCTGCGACGCCCCAGCGTTCGATACACTCGTTAAGCCCGCAGAATATGACATTACTCGTTTGCCCGAAGGGGATGCACCGCCTGAACAATCGCCAATTCCACCTTGCAGTATTTTGGCGAGAGGATACGTCAAATGGTGAGCTGTCTCATCCGGGGTTAATCCTATGGGCGTAGATGAATGTTATTCAGAAGTATACATGACTTTCGGTATTCGCTCAGATTTAGCCCGGAACAGATGCATCATGTTGGAAAACTCGTTTCCTGCTTCTATGCCAACGGTTTCGACGAACTTTCCCATTAACGAGCCACTGGATCAACGCTACAAAGATCTCGGAATCGAATTACCGGCCATCCAACATGCGAGAGCTGCGCTAGAAAAATCAAATGACAATCATCTGGCTGTACTGACACTCGCCTGGAGTTACATTCTGTCAGCTCTATGGGGAGAATCTCAGGGAGGAATAGCAGAGTTCTCCCCGACTGTACCGAAAGATCCCGATACGCCTTGCAACGTTCATATTGTCTATATCCCAGGACGAAACTCCGAAGCTGTACGCTGGTGGAAGCATGTGTTAGGAAGTACTCCTGGATGGCAGGTGACACTGCAGTATAGAGAAACCCAATACCAGTCGCCCTGGGCTATCCGAGGTCCAACTGGCAAAGATGTCCACTTTCGTGTCCTCTCACAAGCGAAACCACAGGCTGGAAAACCGGCCGCGACGCCACCGGATGCTGCTACTGCCCTAAGATATCTTTCCGAATATTGTTCATTCCATGGACTTACTAGGCAGGGCGAAATAGCACTATCAGCAGCACTTGTCCTACCGACGCACTTGTTTATGAACTTAGCGCCGATTAACCTACCAGCACCAGTTCATGCTGTTGACATACTGACCATTCAGAATGACAACGCATGTCTCCATTTCGACGAAGACCAATCTCTATTGAGATTCCTTACTCAGATCCCTCACTTGATGACGATTAGCGCTTTTGGGATGGAAAATCTCTTATTTGGAGGTATATTTTATGAACCCAAGATCACAACTCAGACATTTGGCCAATGGGCCAGCGCACCAAAAACAATGTGGCCTGAGTCTCAAGCGCATGCCGCTGCAATCGGCTGCTTGCGTAATCCTGCTCTGTCTCGTTGGTACATTGGGGCTGGAGTTACATCACTTCTACAGTCGCGCTTTCTTGTCCACAACTGCTGGCATTTACTCTCCAACCCACACCTGGCAATATGGACTGGATCAGCAAAGCTTGGCCCCCATAGTTTTCTCTGCCGAGCTTTTACACCAGAAGGGTTTAAGATTCGCATGATTTCTGAATCCAGAACCCGACTCATTCTCCGTGAGGATGAAGTATTAGCTGCTTTCTTATGCTCAGCCAGTGGCCCGAAGAGATCACTCGAAACCCTTCCTCCAGTACTAGTTCCTCCGCCGGGATATTCAGTACTTGACAAAACATCGCTCAAGATCATCGAGATAGCTGAAGCTGGAGTTTCCTTGCGTCTAGAGTTCGCCAACTTCGCCTGGGACACTGAGGATGGGTTGAAATATTCGAAGAATCTTCATTGCCCAGTTACTGAACTTCCCCGCGCAGAGAAAGGCCTAGTTTCTGAATGGCAGCCGCCTGCTATCAATGATCGGATGAAATTAGTTCTTGATGACGTCGAGTGTGAATCTCAGGATACAACTAGAAGAATCATGGATCACCTTGTTGCGTACAGAGGCGAAGAGGCAGATGAAGAGAGGGGGGATATTGATCTCAAGGAGCTGTTTTCAGTCTATGAGAACGAATAAATGTACTTATTGCATGCAACATCTGTCAATGTCAGTTAATTTTCCCTGTATGAAATGCCTACAGATCTTTGTTACATAGTTGCAGGTCATAGCTTATCAATCATGTAATACAAAGGGTTCCATAACATTACCACGGCTATGGAATAAGGACGTTAGGAGGGTGTACGATAGTATCTTAGTGGCTAAACTCGCGTGGATATTTCCAGAAGTTTCTGTGTTGTTTAATTACGGATTTCACTGCCAGTATACATGGGTATTACTATTTTGAGTCTTCAATTAATAAAACTCAAGTTCATGATGAATCTATAGAAACAAATCCCAAGAGATCTCTGCGGTCCCTTCAATCCATACAAAATCGAATATTTTAATCAAGAATCCTGATTAACACTTGATGGATAATCTCGGCCGGCAACGGGAGAAGTGCGGCGGAACGTGTGGTGAAGAGCGTACTGTAAATACCGGCGGGCAGCGAGGCTGACCCAACGACGGCACGATGAGACTGAGGCAACTGTACGAACAGAGACTGAGACAGGACGGCACGAGAAAATGTAAAGGCGGACAAGAATGTAGTTAGCATACCCCAATCTGGGGTCAT